CGCGAGAGCTTCTTAGAGTTTACATTATCCTATATTCCGAGAATTCAAAATGTCCGAGCAGATAGTCTTGCAAAAGGAGCTCGAGCGAGAGGAGTTATTTTTTCCCAAATCGATCATAACGAGCCGGTCGAAGATGGTTTTCAAACCACTTCATGATAGGCCAAATGTGATTGTAATCGTTGGGTAACAGAAAAAAAAAATCCTAGTCTTTTTCTTTCAATATGGCCCCTAGCACATCCGAAGAAACACAGCCATACTAGCTACCTCTTCTTTTCTCTGGATGGATCTTTAAAATATATGGTCCAGCAAAACCTCTGAAATATCAAGAATCACAGCACATCTACAAAAATATGTGTGCGGAAACTGATGATTATGCTATATGAGTTGTTATAAGGATCAGATCGAATCAACTATATTTGAGAGTGTGAGCAAAACTGCATGTAACAAATATAATAAAAGAACATATTGATAGGAGCTTAATCAATTTTGGTTTTATCTCCAACGGGTGACTTAGGGAAAGTCCATTCGGAATTATCTCTCGAGGTATTTTAAATGTTATTTTTAATTCAAAAAACTTATTAATAAAGTCTTCGTAACCAACAAAAGGCAAAAAAGCATAAGGCATGGGCTTCTAGCAATAGATAGCAGTGAATATTGTCTATTGACTCCATAGGACAAGTATAATTTGTATAAGCGATAGAGCTCATACTTGCTTAACTGTACATATTTAGCGATAGTAATACTATTTATTTATTACATGATCTGCATGATACTAAGAAAACAAACTCGACGAATCACACAAGAGCAGATCATTTTTTTGTTACAATTATATAAAGAGCAATGGTGAATAAAATTCTCGATTGAGTTCTCAAATTTTAATTAAAAAAAAAACAAGACATTGAGAAGCATTGATAATGTTTTAAACAATGACAATCATCTTCTGCTGCCGATATTTCTTTTTGAGAAAACACCCAATAGTAGAAATCTTTGATTATGTCAATTTTTCAACAGAGCCAATAAAGATATTTTTTTTTTTGTCGTGCCAATAAAGATATTAAAACACCAATTTTAAAACATTGACCAGGGTTGCTAACTATCTTTTTTCTAGATGGTTCTTTAAAACACTATATCTCTAACATAACCTCGGAAACAATAAGGAATCACAATCAAACTGCAAGTTATGAGTGTGTAGTCTGAGGTTTATGTTTGAGTAAGTGTTATAAATATTATGTTGGTTCGTTTTTTTTAGAGTTTCAATGGGACTACATGCATGCATTGGATATAGTGGGAGATTGCATTAGTAAATTGCACAATCAAACTCAGCTTTAATAACAGATGTCATAGATTATGTTTGACAATATATTGATTTAAGATTATATAGTATAAATTGATAAAATAATTAGATTAAATATAATAATAGTGTAATAAATAAACTATGTAAACGATGTATCTTACTTATTAATCATTTGTAATCTGCACACGGCACAGATCCGTTAGCAAATATTACAGTATTTTCTAGGTCTTTCGTAAATAGCCATAAATCTTGTTTTTTATTCAGTATTAATATTAAAAAGTTTACTTTTTCAAAAAATGTTGCAAACTGATGTACAAAATATTTTCTAATGATATCATAAATAGTTATACCGTTTTGTCTATTTAGTAAGTACAAAAAAATATAATATTCAAAAGGTTATGATAGTGTCGTAAATAATTTTTTTTTTCTAGATATAATTTTCTTATGAAAGTAAACTGGATGAATTGCTTTTGCATTTGATTAAATGTTTTGAATTATTTTTATTGCAATTCTTCCAAAAAAAATTATAGTGATTTCAAAAAGGATTATAAGTTACAACCATGTAATGATACATGATTAATTATCATTTCATTTTAAATTATATTTATACGAGATAAATAAGTGCATATATGCCGGTTTGCAAGTCATAGTTTATAGTCTGCTTAAAAAATTGGGAAATAAAATTAGACTAAATAAGTTAGTAAATGTTTTTTTACTGTATATTTATGAAGCTATCAAACTATTTTTATAGAGGTGAATAATTAGAATTATTGTTTTCTTTTAGAAATACTTTTCTTATTTGTTTTTAAGTTTTTTTTAGATTATAGTTTTTAGTTTAATTTTCTTATGCTAAAGTGATATATATAGTTGGAGATAAATTTGATCCTTCCTACGTGGACAAATCACGTGCTTGCATGTAACGTCCATTATTTTTTTGTAAGTACGACCCTTATGGACCAAATTAGGATTCAGCACAATACGACCTAAGCATATAATATCGGGCCTCGAATCTAGTCAATTTCAAAAGATTCGGCACGATGGGCCACCTGTTCTTGGGTTTCTTGTATCTGACAGCGTAAGCTACGCTGTCAGACACAAAGAGGTCGGAAACTGAGTGGTCAAGAGGAGGAGAGGTCACTTTCTCTATGTCCTAGATCCAAGCTCGGTGACTCGGAAATGTTGAGATATAAGGAAGGATGGCCCGCACAAGTACACGGAGAGCAAAACCGTTTAAGCAATCTCGGCAGACCTGATCAGGTATGAGTAAATCCATGAGCGGGAATCACTATTCAGATTTCCCTCCATTCGACAATAGGAATATGCTTTAGTCTAATTTGATCACATATACCCTTACAAACCCACGAGATTAGCATTTCAAGCATCTTGCTTATACGTGTCAGGCGACAGTGACCTTTCGCAGGAGTCAGAGGAAAAAGTCGAGGATCAGCAAAAGCTATAACGTGCATGAACCATCGAACCAACCCGTACACTGAAGACGAAAAGGACGCACCAAGGAACAGTCTTGTGGTAGGCAGAACACGCCAAGAAAAGTTGGTGAGACCATCAGAAGTGTGACGCAAGCGTAAGATTCAAACCCAGTCAAGCCGGATCATGGACCGACCCACCCGACTTGCTATCCACGAACCAACCCGGTATACTAACTTGGGTCAGGTAAAATCTTATAAATACTTTGTCCCTTCCAACAAGGAAATGGATAATTATTTTAGCTATATTAAGGTTCATATTATCTCTCTAGATACTTGTGACCCTTGAGCCCTAGCATCTCATACTTTCCGATCATTCTTCCGATCATCTCTTCACTTCCTCTCCACGGTGGCTCCTAAACCATGGAGCACTTCAACCCACTAACTCTTCTTTTCTTCTCTTTTCACCACAAAAATCCCATCACCGCTAAAAGCCCGAGTTGACTCCACCCTTCTCATGAGCACTCAACCCACTTTCCTTCACTCGTTTTCTGATCTCTTTCCGCTCTCCGATAAGCCACTCGGTTGTCTTTTTCGTTGATTTCAGACTTGAGCATCGGAGAGTCATCGGAAAACATATCCCCATCGTGTTTTCCGGACATTCACGTATTTTTCGGTTTTGCAGGAGATTTGTCCCCACAAAAAGGACAAAAATCTCCTAAACATATATATATATATATATAGTTTTTCCTTTTTTCTGATAAATTGTTATTTTGTTCCTTTTTATCTTTATTTATTTAATATAAACATAATTGTTTATCTCTTTTAACTTTTAGAATTATGAACCAACTACATAATTTTTTTTTTCTAAAATAGTTAGTTAAAATAGAATTTAAAATTAATTAAACACATATCAAAATCTGATCGATTGATTTAATACGTTTCATTTATGTGAATTAGCAACTTTGACATATTATGTTTTATATAATAAGATATTTTTATTACGTAGTTTTTATCTTTTTTTCTAATTTTTTAATATTTTAGTAGTTTTATTTAAAAATATAATTTACTTTTTTTAAAAAAAATTATAGTATTGCATTGACACATGTCATAATCTAAATTAACATAACACATGTCATAATTTTGTGAGTTATAATTATTTTTTGTGGCACGTTTATGTTGAAAAATTCTCATTTATATCTTTTATATAATAAGAAAAAGTGTTGAAAAAATATATATCTTTATATATAAGTGTGGGTGTATATATATATATATGGGTAAGTCAAATAACTTATTTTGTTTTGGACAACAATCAAATAAGTGTTTGAGGATAAACTAATTAATGTAGAGAAAATTGCTGAATGGGATGTTTTGAAGTTTTAAATTTGAGGAATAGGATGTTTTGAAAACCGTAGAAGGAAAGGGGTGTTTTTACTGTTTGTCTTCCCACAAGGGCCTTTAGGCAATTTTTATTTTCGAAATTGCCATTATCGAAGTAAAATAACTAAAAATGCCTGATTAAATCCGATTTGGTAAACCGATTACACAAAGTTATCAACCGAAGTCCAATATCATAAACCGAAGTAAAACCAAATTAAAAACCGAAGTATAATTTATCGACACCCTAACATTTAAATTAAAAATTTAATTCGGGATCCACATCTGGACGTCGTCTATCTACCATCTCCGGCAATCCAGCTCCGATTAGCCTCCGATAGACCTTTATAATGGCGGGGAAAGTTAAAAAATCGTTAACGCGGAACAACACCGTGCCTCCGGTGTCGAGGCGAGTGCTCCGGAGTAACTCGAAGACAGCTCCGACGGACCACTCGCCCATGCCGCCCATGCCACCGCGACGGAGTGACCGGGTTGAACATCCCATTCACTCGAGTCGTCTGAATCCATGCCGGCGGTGTAGAGCCAAAGTACAATTCGCTCCTCTTCTTCTAGAATGGCCTTCTCGTAATTCTAAAAGTAAGTTACATTTATGAACTTCGACCTTGTCTGAACTGTACTGGCGGTTTGTAATTCAAATTAAGATTGTAATTAAGATTAAGATTGAAACGGGGCGCCTGATTGGCTTGATTTATGTATTGGCGGTTATGAACTGTAGTACTTATGTCTATATATTGATTTCAAACGGTTGGATTACTCTTATATCATCTAGAAACAGTTACAGAAGTTTTTATAGGAGACCATACGAATAGGGTAGTTTTCCGTTTATCCAGAATACTATATCTTTTCGTGCATTTCGGAATTGTTGTTTTCGTTCAAATACAGGTATGGAAGACGGAGAACCTTCAAATACAGGCATGGAAGATGGAGAAGCTTCAAATAACCTTTCGGAAAAACTACCAAAACGAGTCCTCGGCGATGGTTGCTACCCCGTTGGTGCTCGGTTGAACATATATTCAAAGGCCAATGTCATTGGCCTCCTTGTCGAGGCGTTGAAGGGTACTGAAGATCTTGAGAAGCTACTTCATTCCCAGTTTGGGAAGTTGTTCCATCTACCTGTTGCAAGATGTTGCAACAGCGCCAAACTTGTTCATGCCCTTCTATCACGACAACTTGTGACCACGAAGAAACACGAGATTTGGTTCCTCTTTGGTGGACAGCCTCTGAGATATTCGATACGGGAGTTCAAGGAAATCACTGGATTGAATTGCAATCCCGAACCTGATAGCACAGAAGAAGAAGACGATGTGGGAAAAACAGGAATCTGGAAAGACCTGTTCGGAAGAGCGAAGGCGATGACCGTGTTTGATGTGCTTGAAATGCTAAAGGACCCGGATCTACCCCGATGGAAACGGCTTCCATTGGCCCTAATCGTTCTTGTCGACGGTGTTCTGTTTTGCAATAGCAAAAATCTGGCCCTCACCGAGAAATACGTTGCGATGCTGACTGACTTGGATAGGTTCATGGTGTATCCATGGGGGAGGGTATCCTTTAACAAAACAGTATCTCGTTTTCAAGCTCCGAAGGCAATCACGGATGCCGAGAAAAGGGAGAATCCTGTAACACGATTGCGCCATCAGCTTAAACAGAAAACCAGTGCATGCTATGGATTCCCTCTATCACTACAACTCATGGCCCTCCAATCTATACCAATGTTGGTTTCCAAAATTCCTCAACCTGATAACTTGAAGACATTCCTTGAAGATCCCGAAGGCTGTCAAAACATTATCACACTGTTGCATCTTGGGGACATACATGCCGTGGAATCCGACCCTCTAGTAAATTATTTGTAGTATTATATTTAGTAGTATTTGTAGTCTTATTTTGTAGTACTTGTCTTAAAAGATAAGTGTTCTGTCATTTTGGTTGGCAATTTTACAATTGTATTTTTTTGTCTTAGTTGTCTGTGAAACAGATGGTACTCGAGATGGTGACAATGACCAACAGAATGAATTGCGTTGGGTAGATGAGGTAGAGGATGCCGAAGTTGCATTCATGCAGGAACTCATGGCCGATGGGTACAAATTCACACCTTCGGATTTTGCAGTGGCACCGGCCCCTATCGTGGATATTAGTGATGCAGAGGACGAGGTTACCAATGAACAGGAACCTGAGCCATCCACCAGACCGAAGAAGAAACAGAAAACTCATCAAACTGAAAAACGTCCCATGCAGAGGAAGAGAGGCAGGGGCAAGAACTCTTCTAATCTATCGGAAGATGAATCCCTTGATAGTGGACCCATTAAAGAGCTTAAAAGATGGATAGTACGTCAGAATACTTTGCTCCTTCGTGACATTAAGACCGAGTTGGACAAGAGATTGGGCGTATACCAAGAAGACGAAGAAGATGACGATGTACACCAGTCAAAAGAAGATGGGGAACAGGATGATGAAGGACAGAATTCCAAAAAAGATGGTAAAAAACCGGATGAAGATGAAGACGAAGCCGAAGATGGAGGTGAAGAAGGAGGTTATGATGGGGCACAGTCTAGCGTATGCCATAATGATGGTGTACACCCCGAAGCTGGTGTACACCAGAAAGAAAGAGATGATGAAGAAGGGACATCTACTTCCTACGGCGGGGACCATTATTCTCCCAGGGACCATGCGTACTTGAAGACTCCAGAAGCTCCGACGATGACCCTTGAACCGGGACAAGCCAATTCAGGAACAACTCGTCCACCTCCTTACTTCGTCATTCCGGATGAAGATCCACCTACTGGCCTCAACGAGGTGAGCTAATTGTTTAGGCAGCAGCTGACTCTATTAAGTTTCATAACGTGGGTGTATTGTGCTATGTTATTTATGACTTATTCAGGTGGATGGTGGTAGAACAAATTTGGTGTCAGGCCTCTTAGTAGTCTACAAAACTCAGACTCCTCACCCATTGAGCTACGCATATAAGAAACATGAAGCGCAGACAGATGTGCAGGATGCAGAGGTCAGACATTAAAGTTGTTCATATGATATGGATGTGTATATAGTAGTGTTTAGGTATACGCTAGGTATACGATTGATATGTTATACGCTTTATTGTTACGGTGGTTTGTAGGCTGTGGCTAATGAAGACGACTCAAATTTGGGGAAAGATTACCATACTGCGCCTGGGGATGCAAGTGATGCTTCGCAGAAGACCCCTTGTACTCCTAAACCCCCACAAGAAGTTGAGGGATCATCTGGTGTGAGGCGAAAAAGTGGAGGAACAGGAAGAGGAGGAAGAGGAAGAGGAACAGGTAGAGGAGGAAGAGGTAGAGGAAAACGCGCACGTGTACGGTCGGACAAGATTCGGGATATTTACACCGCTGATTCAAAGGTGAAAGCTCTATTTGTATCCAGATCGAAAGCTCCGTACAAACCACTCGAATGGGTTGAAGAAGACCACTTCAAGGCATTTCAGGAGTTATTATCGCGTGAAAGAAACATGTAAGTTATATCGTATTGAAAGCAATTTATCCATAAACTTTCATTCTAATCAATTACCAATTGCTTTCATTACAGCGACTTTTGCATTGTCACTGGTCATACTGTGAACAATCAATTCTTCCTACAAATTGCGAAGCCTACTGAGTGGGTTAACACGATGGTAAGTATATTGTTAGTACTTACTCAATCTTTAATTATCTGTAATATATGTTATTTATGTTTTGTTATTTGTCAGCACATGCAAGTAATAATGGCCATGCTTTGGAGACGTAGAGGTGAAATCTACTTGAAAGACAGGGTAGCATTTGTAGACACCTTGTTCATATCCATCATCGGCAACTACTACAACGATTTCATATCGCGAGACAAAAATCAGTATGACTGGGGGAAAACCATTCAGGGCATTGTATTGGGAAAACCAGCAAAGTGGGCTAATCAGCGGCAGAGGCAAATGTTTCTACGGTTTGTGGACGTTGTATGCGTCCCGATGAACTGGGGGTCTGAGCATTGGGTGGGCCTTGTAATTGACTTTAAAACGGGCAACATAAAGATTTTGGACTCTTTCATCAGTCATAATGATGAAGCGGCTGTGGAGCAGTATATGGCGCCCGTGTGTCAAAGTATGCCATTTATATTGAAGCGTTATTTGGATAGCCAATTAACGGAAGGCGTACGCACCACCCCTTACACATGGAGTCGTTTGGAGGGCATATATCAGAACAAAAGATCCGGTGACTGTGGGCCATGTGCGGCCAAATTCTTAGAGATGCATGCTGCAGGGCTTGGAGTGGAGGATATGGCTTTGATAACGGACGATGTCGTTGACAGGTTAAGGGAGAAATACGCCATGGACTCATACGAAGAGTTTGTCGGGAATCCGGCTATTGCCAACGCTTAGGACGAATTTTGAAGTTTAATGTTGAACTTGACAATGTATGGAAGGGTTATTTGTTGGATTATGTGTTTGATAATGTTTAGGATGTGGGTTTATTTGAGAATTTTTATGGTTATACTTTAGGGTTTACTTTCGTATCTATTAAATGGTGTGTCAATTATTTAGTTTGGTTACAATTTAGTTTACTTTAGTAATTGCGCATCCGTACACCTAACAGCATTTAGTTGTACACCAATATGCATGAAATGGGAGTACATCAAGAAAAATTTGTTCATAGTTCACTTTATTTTAGTACTTATTAATTGGTGTGTGAATACTGTGTTCCAGGCGAAATATGTACCTGTACACCAATATCCATTTAGGTGTACATCTACTGGGTGTACAAGGAAATTTATGGTTTATGCAATAATTTTACAAACTCATTTACAATCTTAACGGTAACCGCATTTAATGTATACGTTCAATTAGTGGGGTTTTTTATTATTATATATATGCAACATAAAGAACCGTTCCGCTTCACAAATCTTAAACCGCAGTTATTCCATCTCCATAAACAACCGTTTTCATCACAATTGAACCTCACAAATTAACTATGGCACCAAAGAGAGGGCGATGTGATGCGGATATCCGTGATTGTCAATCTCCTCTGATGGCGCTTCCCGACGAACTATTGGAGAAGGTTCTCGCATACAGTTGCAACTCCGTCCAACAAATTTTCACACTGAAGCAAGTTTGCAAACGGTTCCAGGCCTGCACTTTAACCCAAAATTTTCTGGCATTGGTTGATCCCGTGGAATTGGAGATGCCTATTCCCGAAGATTTCGATATGCCTTTTATCGCGTTTTGGGAATTTCCCAACTTGTTGAGGAGGATGTATGACGCATGCAATCCTGGTTTGCTGTTCATGAAGGGGATGCAAGACTACTTCTGCCGTGGAGACAAATGTGGCATAAAACTCATCAAGGAATCGGCAGATATGGGATACGAAACAGGTATTTACATGTATGGCATGTACATGAAAGCAGTGGTCGAAGACCCCGTGGGTTTAGAGTATCTTTCAAAACTAAGCAGGGGGGCAATGAGGAGAATAATTCGGAAAATTATTGATGGAGGTGAGCGTGGTTATGTTAATTTGCATGATGAGTTTTCGAGGAGGAGATTTGAGACTAATGCTCAGTTTGCCACACTTTGGTCTTGTCGCTGTGGTGTTGCCAATGCTCAACTTGATTGGCATGACGAATTGTTAAAGGGGCCAAGCATGTGCACGTCGTGTTTCTGGGCACAGGAAACGCAAAAGTTCTTCGTATTTGTTTGGTATGCAGTGCGTTCTGGGTCGTCAATGGAAGAATGGTGACTGATTGGTGAAAGAAAACCAGTTTCGGTGTGTACACCTGCGTTGTGTACACCTTGGTGTGTATACCTTGGTGTGTAATCGATTAGATTCCATATTTCGTACTTTATGATTTAATCTTTTATTTAGGCATGTATGTATGTAGGTGTACTTTGTTTTTCTTTCTATCTATGTATACTTTAATTGTGTTGACAATATTTAATTTCGGTGGGTGGTAGTTTCAGTTTTTCGAGAACCATTCTGTTATATCTTTAAAGTCTCAGTTTTCCTCTCTTTGTACCTCTAATAACTACAAAAAAAAAAAAGAACACCTCAATCTGGACTCAATATGTACACCTAAACTTGTACACCTGAATGTTACATTTATCACATATTATATATTTGAGTATACAAACGACAGTATCTCTTTTGTGGGTATTTTCGGAGAATATGGATATACAAACGACATTATTTATTAAAAGTCTCACCTTACCTATTTCTATACGCATATTTTTAAAAATATGCATGATTTCGTCTATGTGGACAATCTGTACTCTATATCTCGGTTTACGTGATATAGAAAAAACGTCTGTAATGATGACAAGAAATTTAGTTTCCAACAAATAAATAAAGGGCTGGGTTGTCAATGAAATTTCGATATTATCATAAATTCTAATAGTATTGTCTCAGATATCATAAATGTATTGTGGTATATCCAAAATTAAATTAAATCATTCGTCAAAAAAGTTTAATGGTGAAATTTGCTGTTATTTGGTAATTCTCTGTATTTATTGTGGTAATTTAATTTTGCCGGTAAACGAAAAGACACATTTTAGTCACTTTTCAACGTCTCTCTTCAAAGACATCTATTCGGCTCTATTAAAACCGCACTACTACCTCTTTAAATTCAATCCCTTCACCATAACTGCCTACTTAGCACCATCATAACTTCCTCTTTCAAAACATTTTCAATCCTTTCTCTTATTTCTCATTACATCTTCTTATTTTTTCTCTTTTCACCGAAATAAACAATGGTTCGAAGGAGAAACAGAGGTGGTGATGGTGATTTTTCCTTTCTTCTCTCACTCCCTGATGAATTGCTGGAACAAATTATGGCCGCTACAAACCCAACTATAAGGGAAATAGCCCGCCTCCGTGCTGTTTGTTCTCGTTTCAACCGTATCGGCAGAAGCAGGGGTTTCTATCGAGCCATTGATCCCGCCGAAGTCGTGCATGAACCAGCGGCGGTTCCACATTACCCAGCAATGATGAGGAGATTCTATGACGCGGGTAATCCAGGGGTTATTTTCGAGAGGGGGATGCAAGCCTACTTTTTCTTCCACGATGGTGAAGGCGTGGATTTGATAAGGGCTGCTGCGGAGGGAGGCTACGACCGAGCCCTTTTTGTGTACGGGATGTGGCTCAGAGCTGTGCCGGAAGACTTCGTCCGTGCAGAGGACTATTTGGGCAGGCTGACAGTGCAAAACCGGAGGAGGATGAGCCGGTTGTTGCTGGCCGAAGTTCCACACGGATGGAATTTCGATTTGCCAGTGGATTTCGCTGAGAAAGCAGCTGCGTTTCATCCGAGATTCCTTGCGCTGTACACTTGTCAGTGCGGGGTTATAAATTACTGGCTGCAGTGGTTTAGAGAAGACTTTAAGCAGCCAAAGTGCACAACCTGTTTCTGGGCCCAAGAGACCCAAAGGTTCTTCCGCTTCATTAGGAACGTCGTTCCAAGCTGGCCGGTCATGCTCGATTGGTGAAAGCCGTAACCTTCGTCTGTCGTTAATTATTTATGTTGTCTTAGTGTTCCGAACTACAACTGATGTTTTTGAAATTGCTTGTCTGCTCTCGTTTTTTTAGTACTTATGTTGATTTATGATATTTATTGTACTTATGTTTATTTTATGATATTTATGGTACTTATGTTGATTTTATCATAGCTCTTACCATTTTTTAAAAAAAATGGGGGTTTTTTTCATTCGAAATATCAAAGTTAAATTAGGTGGATATCATTTCGTCTAGGGCAGTAATTAATTATGTACACCTATTCACTGTAATTATTTATGTACACCTATTACAGTATACCTATTACAGTATACCTATTCACTGTAATTATTTATGTACACCTAATACAGTATACCTAAAGACGTACACCTACTTACGTAAACGGGATCAGATATAGATTGGAATCATAAAACAGGTTGAAAATAAAGTAACACTACACATTTTAGAAAATAAAGTAACATTACCATTGGTATACGGGTTCGTAAACGTACACCACCGTACACCAACATTGGTATACGGGTTCGTAAACGTACACCAGCATTGGTATACGGGAGTGTAAACAATTTTTGGACATAAGGCTGTTAGACATAAAGCATTTTTGCAAAGCGTTCTGCCGAACATCTAAGATAACAATTTTTGTCGTTTCCAATTTGAGTCAGTCAAACGGTGCAACAGGTTTCAAAAAAGGTACTTAATTAGTTTTTGTCGTTTCCAATTTGATTTTTTTGGGTCGCGTTTATTCTTCATACACTGGTTTCATTAAAGCAATTTTCAAAACCGTCATGACTTGCTTTTTGAAAAAAAACGTTTATTCGAGCTGTCCTATCCTACAATTTCAATTCAAAGACATGATTATTGTCCGTTGTTTATTCGAACCATGTCTTTCATAATGTTTTCTTTCTCTGCTATAGAACCATGTCTTTGATAATTATTTTGATCCAGAACCATGTCTTTGATAATTATTTTGATACCAAAACCCTACATCGTAAACCCTAAGCCCTAAACCCTAAACCCTACACATAACCCCTAACGTCCATACACATAAATTTATATGCGTCACCATATAAATGTAAACTTATAAATAAGCCATAATGCAAATACACTATATGATGTAAACTTGCCTATGTTGTCCACCATCATAGTGTATACAAACTGTGTCCACCGTCAAGGGTGTACACCCTTGACCAGTAAACATCATCATTTTTATACCAAATTTAACATAGTTCATGCCTTTCCGAGTTTAAATATAGGGAAACATAGTGTACGCTAGAAACAAACCCGAAAAACAAAGCGAGATAGTGTCCACAAACTGTGTCCACCGACAAGGGTGTACGCACTGTGTACACCCTGTCCAGTAAACATCATTAATTTCATAACAAATATAACATAGTTCATGCCTTTCCAAGTTTAAATAGAGGGAGGGAAACATAGTGTACGCTAGAAACAAACCCGAAAAACAAAGCAACATCCCCACACAAAAAGCAACATGACACACACAAAAGCCACACCCGGTCAACCCAATGGTTCCTTGCATTTTGCCCGGTTATGGCCGGGATTTCCACATCTCGAGCATTTGTTTGGTTTCTTTTTTTTCGCAACCTGCAACAGCGTATATCAGTAATCATTAATCAGTAATCAGTATCACTGGGAAAAAAATATATGTTTAGTGTACACTAACCTGAGGATACTCTCCTGCTGAAAGTTTTCTCTTCGTCGTAGGCCTTCCTGATGGACGCTTTGCCTTAGGTGGCATAATAATAAGGTCACGCACTTCTGCTGGGATACGAATGTCGTCAGGGTCGGGCACTGGTAGGATTTTACCAGAAACTGTTGCACTCCAAATTGATTTCTTAAGAATTGGATCAACCAAACTGCTGTATTCCAC